TTTATGTGCGTTTTATTGGATTTTTGTGGGAAAGAAGGAACACTGGCATGTTTTCTCCTCAGCTATTATTCAAACCGAATTGAATCATTTTTATTATTTATTTATTTATTTATTTAACCCTCTCCCAAGAACGTGCTTATTGATTTTAGAGAGAGGGGAAGGGAGGGAGAGAGAGAGGGAAAGGAACATTGATTGGTTGCCTCTCATCTGTACTCCAACTGGGGACCACACTAGCAACCTAGGCATGTGCCCTGACTGGGAATCAAACCCAGGACCTCTCGCTTTAGGGGACAACACTTCAACCAACTGAGCCACACCAGCCAGGGTTCAATTATTTTTAATAAAATTATTAGGATAAATTGCCAATTCTTACTTTTCTAGAAAACTGCTTTTTACTGAATAACCTTGATCCCAACTCATTCTATAAAAATGGGATTTTGCTAAACAAATTACTTCTAATATCATATTTTGTGCCTAATAGCTCCAAACATCTAAAATTTTAAGGAAGCCCTATAATTTAGAATAATTCTAGGCCAAAGTGATATTTGTAGAGGATCCAGATGCACAAAAATAAAATAAACCAAAGAAGCCATTTAATAATCATGGTTTGGATGTCATTTTTCTGACAGTTATCAGTGCAACTGTCAGGTATCCCTGGAATTTGGGGCTATTAGAATTATTTATTTTGATATCACCATTTCACATAATTGTGTTTGATATTTTAACAGAAAATATTTATGTTCACATGCATGTGGGTATTGATTATCAATACCTCCACATTATATTATCACTTGTACATGGACTAGTTCTGATTCTTTTTATACCTGATTTGCATACCCATATTATCGTATAGAGATTTACAAATACATAACTGTGTATGGGTTTTGTTTTTCCTGCTCTCCTTCTTACTTGACTAAGAATATCAGCGATGTCCCCAAATGCTCCTTTGAAGGTTGATTTAGCCACACTAGCAGAACCCTGGGCTCAACTGTCAGATAGGATCAGTTCTGTGCAGCACACTAATCATACTGCAATCTTTTTGCTGCAGGAGTTACAGTTGCATATTACTCATCAAGGCAAAATGTCAATGTTTAGTGGTTATACAATATGTTTTTGTTAACTCCCCAGATGGGATTTTTTTAACCTTTGTTTATTTGAGAACAACAACTGAATGCTGAAATGCAGTGGCTGGTGCCAGCAATCTAAGGCTTCATTAGTACAGATGAAGCAAGGCTCATTTGTTGCACAAATAATTAGAAAGATTAAATGAAAATAAACACTGAGAGGATGTACAGAAGCTCTAAAGTTAGATAATCATTTTAATTACTCTAGTGATTTCCACCAACCCTCATTATCAGCCACACATCAAGTTTAAATTGTTTTAGGGGAAAGTTCTAGAGCTACCCAGTAATTATGCTTCATAAAAATGACATTTCTTCAAGCTTCCATTTAAAGGAGTCGTTTCTATTCCAGCACCTGATAAATCCTCTTAAATATTTTGAGTTATAAAATTTCACACTTAAAACTGTATTACCCCCATTTTATCCTTCAAATGGACATTCTTAGTGATTTTTGTATTTGCACATCTTTACTGAGATTTGATCATAAAAGATGTGGGTCCACAGTTTTGAGACACTAACTAAAACATTATGGCATATTCAGTAGTTTGAAAATAAATGCCACTTGGAATCATATCATCCTTATTGGTGACAAGCTGCACCTTTTCTTTGGGATAAATTGATTTACTCTTTCTTCCCTTTCCTACCTCAACTTGGAAAACCTCTACCACACACACGAACAGCTCCCTGACATGCGGGAGCCCTGTTTAGAGATATGGTGAGTCCTGTTTAGAATGGATTTCATTTTATATTGTTAGGTGATGATAATCCTGCACGATCTCCTGAGTTAAGATCTTTAGAGGACATGCTACCTGTGTTTAAAAAGCACTTACTGAGTGCCTTCACAATGCCAGCTCCTCTGCAAAATACTTTAACTAACTTATCCTATTTAGTCCTTACCAGATTCCCATGAAGTATGTATTATTGACCCCATTCTCCAGATGAGATACTGAGGCTTTGAGAAGCTCATTGACTTTCCAAAGTTGCCTAGGCAAACCCAGCTGGGAATTGAACCAGGACGCCCCCAAGGGATGACTGAACGAGGAAAATCCGGATTCAAATGCTGACTAAGGATAGTAGAAAACATGAAGTGACCTATGGTGTGGATGTACTCGTCATGTGTTGTGTTGCGTGACACCTGTGAACTCTGGGCACCAATTAAAATCTCAAATTCTAAAATTTGCATTTGAAGGTGTCTCATCTCTGAACAGCCCTGACTGCTGAAATAAGCAGCAATTAGGAATAGGTTTTATGGTGTAGTGGGAATAACCGAGAGTTCCCTACTAACAAGGTTAGTGATGCTTTTTAATGTAATTCAGTAACCACTTGAGCTTTGCTCCAGCTAACACACAAGGCATTTCTCTTCAACTCCATTAACATTTCAGGCAGGATGAATGAGACTTCGGTAACCTTTGTGGGGGCGGGCGGCCGTATGTGCTGCTTTCTAATATTTAAGAAAAGCCTTTACTAATTTCATTCCCTTCCTCTCCCCCCAAGATGCTGACATTGATTTCTGCAGGCATACCCCAGGCCTACCCAGGACGTTTTTTCTGAGGTTGTATTATACAGGGTGGGGCAAACGTATGTTTACAGTTGTTGGTACGAAAAATAAGACAATTAATACATAATAATCCAAGAATAAACTGTGTTTTGCCGACTCACAAATGTAAACCTACGTTTGCCCCACCCTGCATCCACAGGCCCACAGGCTACCCCAGGACACATGAGGAGGTCTAATGGATTCGTCCTTTGCTATGTTTAGGATGTACTAATCTGCGGAGCTTAAGTATGAGCTAAGGGTGATACGGAGATGTCGGGACAGAAGACTTGTCCTTGTGGGGGTCGCTGGGGAGCGGCGCTGTTAAATCTGTACATTTCACTCTTAGGGGAAAGAAAGGAAAACTCACAGACGCGCTAACGCCTGATGATAGGAGGGAGCAGCAAGGGTAGGGCTGAGAAACCCAGCAGGTCAGAAAGGCTGGAAGGGCATCTGCCCTCACTCAGAAAGCGCGAACGGAGGAATTTATTTGTGAGCAAGACAGGAAGACAGACAACTGAAGGAAGATGGACTCAGAAATTATCATAGGCTGGAGAGGCGGGGGGGGGCGGGGGGGGGGGTATGGAATAAAAGGCTTTCCTGCTGCTTTGCAAGCTCCTCCCTGGGACGTGATTATGAAACGTGGCCCCTCTTCTGTCTTCCTGGTACATAACAGATAGCCAGAGACTCAGCTAGTAGGTACGCTAGATAGAAAACGTCCAGACTAAGCACCAATTGTCTACTCGTCATCTTCCAGACACGGTCACAGTTCTACGGGTCAATGTTCAGATGTAGGAGGGCCCTCTCCTCCCGGTGGGCTGGGTCCGGCGGCGTTTCTCCAGGCCGCGCACGGGGGAGGCCACTGGCGGGACCCAGGGAACCACGCTGCATTTTCACTTGGCTATTTAACACTGAACTCGAAGACATCACTTCAAACGCTGAGCCTCAGCTTCCTCATCCATAAAATGGAGGTGATCCTCCTTCCCAAGCCTCCCTGAAAGGATCGTTGGGAGAGTCAAACGGAATAATTGCTATGGCAGCGAACTGCGAGTAACTGACTCCAAATTACTGAAGAAACAAGTTAAACACATTCCGGTGGAGTTTCAGGAATTTTCCCTCACTGATCTAACTGCAGTCAGGCAGCAACCGTTCGGATTGATTCTTTCTTAAGAGGGCTATCTCACATGTCAGACACCTTTGTCGTCCCCCCTCGGTCTCTCAGGCTTCCCATTGATTTCTGCCTTTCAGTGAAAGCGCTTTTTGTTGCTGCTGGTCGGCACACCCCCAGCACACCAACCCCGCAGCTGGGAGCCAGAGAAGAATCCATTGCCCTTTCCCGCCTCTAGGTCTCCCCAGTTTTCTGCACGTGAATGGGTTTTCCTGGCTGATCTCCAAAGACCTTGCAGTATTTCAGAAAGCTGGGAGCGCACGGAGCTAAGCAGAAGAGCATCCACCCCCTCCCGGAGGTCGTGCGCCCCTCGGGAACCCGTCTCCCCAGTCTCCTTCGGCGGTGCAGCAGCCGCCTCCAGATCTAGCTCGCGGGGCCGCCAGCACCAGACCCGGCGGAGAACCGGGCCCCCTCCCCACTTGCCTCTCTCAGCCCCTCTCCGCCAGTAGCAGCGCTGCTGTCTTCCCACAGGAGGACTGGGAGGACGCCGGAGTCCGCAGCGCCCCCGCCCCCTCGCTTTTTCTTTCTTTCCTTGGTTTGGGATCTTGCTGCTGGAGCTGGGAGAGGTTCTGAGAAGAGCAGAGCGAGGGACAGGAGTGCAGGCTTCCGCGGCAGCGCGCAAACGGAGCTGGGGTCCTGCATCTCCGGCGTCCGCTCCCGGTCCTCGCCGCCCCGGCTGGGATGTGACGAAGGGAAGCCCTAAGCGCCTGCCTCAAGCCCTCGAAGGTGCCCCAGAGAGCCCACCGTTGGAGTCCCTTTGCACGCAGAGGCGCGGGACGGGAGCGGCCAGGCGGCCCGGGGGCCAGCTCCCGGCTGCCACTCTTCGGAGAGAGCGCAGGGGGATCGCCGTCTTCCGGGCGCTCGGCATAACTCCGGGGTAGGCGCGCGCGGCTGGACCTAGTCCTGCTTCCCGCCGACTCACCCAGAGTGCCGGGCAGCACCTGCCCGCCCGCCCGCCTGCACTCCCTGTAGCCCTAGCTCCTTGGCACCCGTGCCAACCCCCCACGCCCAGGCGCTGACACCGCGGCTCCCGGACCCCGCAGCGCCCCCCAACCCTATGGGAAGCGCGCGGGCCGCAGCTTCCTGAGTACAGGCGCCGCCGTCGTCCAAACTGCGCGCTGGGGTCCACCGGCTGGCCCCTCTTAGGGGCGCCCGAGAGGCCGGGGAAGAGCGCACCATGAAGTCCGTGCTGTTCAGCCGCTTTTTCATCCTCCTGCCCTGGATCCTAATCGTCATCATCATGCTCGACGTGGACACCCGCAGGCCCGCGCCCCCGCTCACCCCGCGCCCCTACTTCTCCCCCTACGTCTTGGGCCGCGGGGGTGCACGACTCCCTCTCCGCAGGGGCGGCCCCGGGCGCGGCTTGGAGAAGCGCAACCAGTCGCGGCCGCAGCTACAGCCGCAGCCAGAGTCGGAACCGCCTCTGCCCACCATCTATGCCATCACTCCCACCTACAGCCGCCCGGTGCAGAAAGCCGAGCTGACCCGCCTGGCCAACACGTTCCGCCAGGTGGCGCAGCTGCACTGGATCCTGGTGGAGGATGCGGCGGCGCGCAGCGAGCTGGTGAGCCGCTTCCTGGCGCGGGCCGGCCTGCCTAGCACGCACCTGCACGTGCCCACCCCGCGGCGCTACAAGCGGCCGGGACTGCCGCGCGCCACCGAGCAGCGCAACGCCGGCCTCGCCTGGCTGCGCCAGAGACACCAGCACCAGCACGCTCAGCCCGGTGTGCTCTTCTTCGCCGACGACGACAACACCTACAGCCTGGAGCTCTTCCAGGAGGTAGTGGCCGGCCCCCCTCAGCTTGGAGGCAAGGGCGGGAGGGGGCCTCGGGGGTCGGCCGGGCTGCGTCTGTACTTGGGAGTTCGCACTTCTCAGTGCACTCTTTTGTAACTCCAGGTGGAGCGCTCTTCGCAGGCAGCCCGCAGCCTTTGTCAGCCCTGGCGAGCTTCCCTGGCCAAGGGGGTGGGATTCGGGGTGAGGGATAAGGGCCACTGTGACTCGGGGAAGGAAGTCGCCTGGCCAGTCAGGGGCTTTGCACTCTGCCTGGCCCCAAGATTGGGCAGAGACAGTGGCACAGGTGTGGGGCGCCGAAATGATTTCCAGGAACAGGATCTGGGTGGCCTGAGGGTGAAGTCCAGATGGAGAGGATGGTCGGGTCGGCGGGGTTATTCGCGAGGCCTTCCAGCGCACACAGGTGTGACTGAGATTCTAGAACCATATGGAGAGGAAGATGGAGATGGTTATTTAAAAATCAGCCCAGAGACAAATTCCTCTGGCACAGTCCGTTGACACGGAACTGATTATTAGTGAAAACGGTGTCTTCTAGGGGGTCCTTCCTCTGTTTCTTACCACACCTCACAAAAGGCCCTTTCCCACTCTGCAGACTCCCTCTTTTTCAAGGAAACCCTTTGGCAAATGACTTGAGACTGTTCTGTCTCATGGCTACGTCTTTTCGCAGCCAGAGCTCTCAGCTGAACTGTCGAATTCCTTTTCTGCGCCTTGTTTGAAGGTCTCTCCCTTCCGAGAGTTAGCCAGGCCACCCTTGCATGGTGCCATCGCATCCTAATGCTCGCTGTGAGGTCCTGCGTGCAGCCCAGCCCCAGTCTTTGAGATGGCCCTCTTTTCCCTTGGAAGGCCGCACGTGTGCACGACCAACGGGCACTGGATTAGAACAGGTGTTATTTCTTGAGGCGGGTATTTTGCAGCCTGCAAATAAGGCTGAGCTACATGGTGGTGTCGGTTTTCTTCTCTCATACTCAAATACAACTGAAAAAAAAAAGTCTTGGCTTCTTTGACATCCCATGGGGCCATTGCCTTCCTCTACCCAAAATTCCTTGACATCCTCCTGCCTCTGAGACGCCATCGCCCCTGCCTCCCCCTCAGGGAAACCGGATAATCTGTGTGTCTAGTAATCATATATGCCCCACACTTTCATCTTAACATCTGCTTTGCTTTTTTAACCTCAGGACAAAGCTACTCTGTACACTTCCAGTTTTTTTGTTTGTTGTTTTTTGTGGGGGTTTGTTTTTTTTTTTTTGTTTTTTTTTTGCCTATGTGGCTTTAAAAAATCCTCTTCTTGAAGGCAATTGCTGCCTTCATTTCTATTCATCCTCTTCCTCTTCATGAATAAAAGGACCTGTAATTGTTCTCCATCTTTTCTTTTCCATCCTTTCAGGATGTAGGGCATCCTGTCCATGTTTCTTCAGAAGAAATTAATATATGGCATAATCCTTGTTATAACCAAGATTAGAATTATCATCTGATGTTTTTAAGTTGGGGTTTTATATTTCTGCCTGTGCTCTCTCTTACCCAAAAGATGTGGTTTGTATTCTGAAGCACACACCTTTACACATCAGTACAGCATAATTTAAACCCACTTTTCTCCTACAGCTTGGAAGTTGCCTTATCTGGGGAAATGTGGTCTCATGTATGTAAAGTAATGCACATCATCACTAGTTAACCTCTTCGGGGGCTGGGCTGTGAAAGGGGAGAGATTTTCAGTTTATATCCAGCTGCTAGCCCCTTCTGTGAGGTGTTAGATGAGGGGAAGGAAGAGTTGGCACTACAGGCAGTGAAACGATTCAGAACAGTCTTCCTTTGATGCTTCCCAAACTGAAAGGAAGGCTTGTTGGTGGTGGATGTTAAACAGCAAGAGAAAAATCCAGTAGTTTTTTTTCCATTGGTCCATAAGGAGAAAAAAGAGAGAGAGAAGATATAAGAAAGGAGAGGGTGAGGAGGAAAAAAAAAAGATAGTATTGGCCAGAGGAAACTATAAAAGGAAAAAGCAAAAATTTTCAAGATGCTGAAATTGTGTACAGTTAGAAGTAATGAAATAATGAGAATAAAATTAAGAGCATGTGCAACTTTTGTTTATGTTGAGGTGCCAAGTATACAAAATACACAACAGAAGCAATTTTTTTAAAGCACAATATGCATGGAAACAGCTAGAATTTAAATTTTCAGCTCCTAGAGGCCCTTCCCAGACTGTAATTTTATGACTAGTCCCTTGTCCACCAACGTCCTCCCTCCCTCCCACATGATGTGTTTGGACAGAGTAGACATCTGGTCACCATGCATATATGTCAGTACGTTCAGTTTTCCTTTTTACAACACATTCTTTTCCTCTCAGGGCAAGCAGTATTGAAGCCTCTGAAAAGTCAGATTCATGGAATTTATGCATCCTTAGTTTTATGCATTAATGGGCTGGCCCACTCTACACCAATTCTAGAATTAATGATTCCATGTAGATTACAGCATAGACACTACTCTCTTGGAGAAAAGGTAGGACCAGATAACACATCTAAACACCGAAGCTCCTTGGGGGAAGGGGAGATGTTGGTCAGGGATGCTGTAGCGTCGAGGCCTATATCTCAGCCCTATGTACGCAGACACACACAAATCAGTTTTTAAGTAATTCACAGCGCTTAAGGAAAGAATTTCCCGAGTCAGGCTTCATCTTTTATTCATACTGCTTTTAATTTCCACGGTTGATGTAAACGCAGATAACATAGGAGGAAAATGAACCAGGTACAAATTAGCTCACTAAGCATTGGTTGCAAATGAAGGAAAGTAAAAGATGAAAGGTCTCCAAATTAAATTAAAGGCGCAACAGGCAATCCATGTTCAATTATTCCTCCGTGGTCACTGGCATGGTGCTTGCTTCTCCCATACAGCTAACTAATTTTCAGCTACCCTTTCAACTGAACTGTGCCGCTAGGAAAGAAATATTTGCATTGACCCAATCCTACGTTAACAGCCAAATCCACTTGCAAATGAAGCTCGGTGTGAGTGGCAACCACAGAAACTGGCCTGGCCATTGGAGAAAACAGAGGTTGAGGCTTTTTTCAGGTTTGCAGTATGTCAACAACTGCTGCTCTTCCAGTGGCCTTGGTGGGAATGTGCCCTCTGGGTCACAGGTAGTCCAGCCTGCCTATGCACTCTGTCAATCTAGCTCTCGGCAGTGGGGGGGGGGGGGGGGGGGGGGGCTTATCTGCAAAGGATTTAGACTGCTTTAAGAAAAGGAACAACTGCAGATACATGTGACTCTCCATCCGGTCATGTTTTCAATAATGTATTTGATCAGATTTTTGTTCTTTACTGGAAAATCTTCCAGGCTCCTCTGAGTTTAAAGCTGATGCTTTTTCAGGTGAAGTTGCTTTCACCTTTGCAAATTAGTTACACTGAAAAGTTAAAAAATAACACTTTTCCAAGCAAGAACAAAAACTATTAAAAATTAAATTTAATGAGGTAAGACTGGAAGACAGGTCAACTCTGAGACATTGAAGGAGCTCATGAAAGAACTCAGTTAATGAGCCCGCATCTTGAAGATGTTCTGATGGTGGTGAACTAAAGAGGCCTTTCGTTTGGGTTTTTTGTTGGGTGGGGTTAAGCTATTGGGTTGGCCAAAATGTTTGTCCAGTTTTTCTGTATGATGGCTTTAGTAGCACTTAGCTGTCTTTTAACTTCATTTGATACAATTTTTAGATTGTATTGTGACAGCTGTCATATCAGTGTGCAGTTAGAAAAACATCCAAATTTGGTGATTTTTGTGTTGTCATTTTAATATTGAAGATGGAAGAAAATAAGCGGTATTTTTAGCACATTATACTTTATTATGTCAGGAAAGATAAAAACCAACTGAAATGCAATAAATAGATTCGTGCAATGTTTGGAGAAGGTGCTGTGATTGGTCAAATGTGTCAGAAGTGGTTTGTGAAGTTTTGTGCTGGAGATTTCTCGCTGGATGATGTGCGACGGTCAGGTAGACCAGCTGAAGTTGATGGCGATCACATTGAGACATTTGTTGAGAACAATCAATGTTACACCATGCGGGAGAGCGCCAACGTATTCAGAATATCCAAATGAATAAAGTTATTGGTGAAAATGAAAAATGTGTATTTTATTTTATGGAAAAAACTAAACAGACTTTTTGCCAACCCAATATTTGTCTGCTAGGCAGGTGGAGGAGTTGAAGCTTAATTCTGTCTTGCTCTTTTTCTGAAATATTTATCAGCTCCCTCTTTATATGCATCTTATTGGAACTACAATCCAAAGAACACTTAAATTCACAATGTTAGCCCCCCTAAGGGTAAATTCTGTATGTTTCCTGAAAGAAGGCAAAAGATCTGCCTTCCTTTTTATCCTTGATACAGCTACTTGGTGTAGGGTAATTATCTTTTCAAAGTGCAGGAACCCAGAAAATTCCCTTAGGTGCAACATAAAAAGATTATTTTACCTGAAATACATCCCTTGTGTTTTATTTCTCCCTGTCTAAAAGCATATTAATAGTCATGCCATAAGTCTCATGAAATGTGAGCATTTTATAAAAATATGTTCATAAAACTATTGCCAGTTTTCTCAGGCTATCAATGTTAAATCTACTGATTTTCTTTAGTCTCCCTCTGTACAGTACTTGAGTTATGGCTAGTTTTTGACAGGGCTCTTTGGAGAGCAGCAGTTTTCATTTGGATTTTGATAATTTAATGGACCAGAAATAATAACTCAGGTGTAAAAGACATTCTCTCCTGCCTCTTCCAATTGTCTTTTCCATCATTTGTCCTCCTACTTTTTACTGATTATTATTTCTCATGAATAGATATGAAGACTTGTCTGGATTATTGTTTGGTGCAGTGAATGTGCATCTTTTAAACATTTAGCCTGTTTGCTTCTTCTTGGAAACTATGTGGGTGACTCAATTTCCTTCTGTCTATTCCACTTGCTTCTAAATTACAAGCTGGTAATTTTTCTCTTGTGTGAACAGTCATGGAGTAGTAATTGCT